TATTAACATATGACAGAGTGGAAAGAACACTGGCTTCAGCATTAAATAGACCTAAGTCTAAACTGCCATACCCCTTAGTCATGTGACCCTGAGCAAAAAATAGTTAAGGTGAATCTGTCTGCTCAGGTACAGATGGAGCAAATTATTACTTAGTGTAATTATGAGAAGTAAATAGTATAGTTACTCCCCTGGTCAGTTACATACAGATGAACCCAGGCCAGAAACAGGCTTTGATTCAGCAGGTCTGAGATTGGACCTGAATGTCTTATGTTTTGAAAAGCTTGGCAGGTGATCAGACTGAATGAGCAGGACAAAAAACATGTAAGCAACTTGGTACGTGGCTCATGGAAGGTACCTGACAAGCTTTAGATTCCTGTTCTTATGTGCAGAATATAGGGCTTCTGTAATTTTTTCACTAAGTTCAATGATGAGCAGCAACGATTTATTTTTTTTACTGAGAGAGAACTAAAATTAGCAGAGAAAAATAATGTACATGCCATTCCCAGTCTAAAGCAATACCATGGCACCCAAAGATGCAGTATGAAAGAACCCCCCAAAGGTTTCTGACTTGTGGTTATATGTAATCTTGCTGAGGCAAATTTGAATTGGTTTCATGATTTGTAGGACCAATTCATTTAGCTGATCTGTGTTTTTACCCACTGATCAGTGTCCCAATTTCATCTTGGTTTTGTTGTGTTCTATTCATCACCATAAATAGATAAAAGCTTTGTTCTTTGTAAAATAGCCTCAAAAGAGAGTCAACTGCTATGCCACAAAGATATCTGCAAATTTGGAGAAATGGAAAAGGTCTCCAATTATTCTAGCAAATGTCAGAGATCTACTGTACAATTACATTTTTTTAACATAAGGGAAAGGTCTTATCCTATTTCATAAATAGATTCCAGCAATAAAAAGTCACATGAAAGGTCAGAGAGCATGGCCTATAATACACCCAATATTTCAATAGTTTGTCTGCCTTTCTTCCTGGCCTTCTAGAACAACACTGGTGGTTAGAAACAATCATCAAAATGCAATCCTGGGGCAGGCTCGCCAACTAAGATGAATGCAGTGTGGACTGCAGACAGCAGAGGCTCCTGCTGGCCACTTTGGCCCTCACTCCACAGGGGTGCCAGAAGTCAAACAGCCCAGACTGTCAGTGGCTGGTTACGCGCCATGTAGGAAAAAAGAACCCCAAACCAAACAAAACACAGAGTCAAACAGAGTAAACGGGGTGTAATTGGAAAACCACTTGACTTCCATTTCCTAGGAAACCACCAACTTTATCAGTGCAGAAATCCTATAGACCACAAAGAAGGAGTGATTTGGGGCACTATCCAATCCGGTACTATGTGCAGAGTCCGAAGTTCTCTCACCCTGAATATGGACTGAAGAGTTTTGATCAGGAGTGCAGATGGGAAGTGCCCATGGGAAGTGCCCAATGGAATTCTTTTTTCTCTTTGTGGTTAACACTGTGCTGTATTAACAGAAAGACAACTTCGTTTCTTCATGTTTAGGCATAGGAGCCACACATGGATTAGGCACAGGATTGAAATATAGATTGTTTTTACTTTAAGTTCAAAGACATTTTATGTCAAGCCTAAAACATACTGTTTAACCAAGCTGACTGCTCGGCTATGCACTGTATGAACTGCTCTTTAGCATACCATACACTCACAGGTAACAAACAGTGCCATATGTATAGTACACTGAGAAGATGCTAGGACAAAACTTGTCTTACTTTTCAGATGAAAGAAAATAATATTCAACTCAAATATGACTAAGTCTCTATTATATGCAAGACAGTCCATATCCTTAAAAAGGTTCTGACTTCATAAGAGTGTAAATGATGAAAGTCAAGCTATTAAGGGTGAACTTTTTGGAGTTATATGGAGACAACACATTCGTATTATGTGTCGCGTTTAATGGGTGCCATGCTTCAGGATGAATGTGTGTTTTCTCATTGTCCTTAGTGTCAGAGAAATATATTCTAAAGAGAAACACAGAAATTACTTCCCTTTCTATGCGTTTTCGCTTTTCCATAAATCTATCCTTAGCTCAGTGATGCCTGAACTCCTCCTCTGTCCATCCATACACACTGCCCAGCAGACCCAGCACAGTGACTTCAGTTACATGTATGTGACTTGGCCGTACTTTAAGACAATTTGTCATAATCTGCCCTCCAGGCTCCCATTGGAGTATTTACAGTGGCCATGTGTTTAATAGAAAGTTTCTTTTTCACATCCTTCAGATCAGAGCTAGAACTTAGTGGTCTAAAATGCCCTTCCTGAGTCTTAGATTCCTTTTCTAAAAGGTTACTCAGGGCGAGAACACTCTGGATCCTCTTCCCTGAGACCCCCGATGAAGTTTTCTCTCTGTTCACTTGACATCCCACCCTTGCCCAAAGCCAAGCTGCCCCGGCCCCTCTAGCTCACACCCCTTATGCTGTGCAGACCCCAGGGCCACTTTGGGTGGCACCAAACCCCCTTCCTGGGCCCACCATCCCTCCAGGATTCAGTTTGCCTCTTACTCTTCTTAAAAAATCTTTTTTTGAAGAGAAAGAAAAATACCGGATGGTTTCACTCATAGCAGGAGTATAATGGACCAGGCGAGAAAATAATGAACAACCATAGACCAGAGACATTAT